AGCTGCATTTTTGTGACACCCCACACTCTATACATACATTGTCAGCGCCTATGGAATATCACTCCCTGGTCTTTCTCCAATTTCTTGATCAAGTCGGATCGGCCTCGTTGCAGCTGTAGCAGTCGGCGGCTCTCCATTCAGGTAGAGGCCGACGAGGCAAGTGAGCAGCAGCAGGACCAGGAGAATCGGAGGCTCATCTCAGCTTGGCTTCGGCGGTGATACGACAGATGAAGCCTGAATGACAGAACTGTGAAGGGCTATTGCGCCCTCAAATTAAACGCGCGGAAAGGACAAGGTGTGGATGGCAGATGGCAAAAATGAGGCCCAAGGACTTTGACCCAGTCAATGATTGAAACTTGCCGTGGGGCATTATTTGAAAGTATGGCAGAACGAGAGAGAGAGAGAGAGAGAGAGAGAGAGAGAGAGAGAGGGACTGGCGATGAGTAGGTAGATCTCACCTGTCTTTCTCTCACTCGACCTCTCGCTCTCTCCTCCACCTCTTTCACTCTCTCTCTATCTATTTATCTACCTCTCTCTCCCCCCTCACTCTCTACCACTCGCTATCTTTCTAATTATGCGTTTACACCAAAGCGCTTCCAAACAGGGTGGTAGTGTGAGCGCGGGAGAAAGGAAGGAGAAAGAGAAAGAGGAGAGAGGCACGAATGAGAGAGAGAGAGAAAGAAAGAAAGATCTTGCAATTCAAAAGGTGTACCAGCAAGGCCGCAGCCTGCATCACAGCCGCAACCGTAAAATGGCATAATTCAAAACAAAGTGTAACGCAATTTCACATAGTTTTTAAATATTTAGATAAATTTTAAGGGCAGAGAACCCAATACTCAGTTCCAATTAATTTTACAAGCATTTATTCGCATAAAAAGGCCAAGTACAACAAAAAAAGGGAAACGATGATGTACTACCGGAAGCCAGGAATTTTAGGAACAACTCATAGTTTAAGAATTTACAAGAGTATCCACATTTTTCGGCTAAAAGATGGGTTTAGAAGTAAGAGAGGAAACGTGCGAAGATTGCCATAAAAACCATGATCGTTGAAGTAGCATTCGCTGCGCCACGGGTGGCCTTCTTCAACTCGTCCGTCGTCAACGTGTTGCACAACGTGTCGTTGCAGTACTGAACCCACTTGGTGACTGAAAATTGGTTTTTGTTTTCTAGTGGACTCGGAGGGACATATGGCATGCGGGTGCATCCAATTTTAAAATTAAAGATGGTTTTGCATATGGTTTTTTCAGGCTTGAAAAAAGCTGCGCGCATGCACGGTGCCCCAAAAAAAACACCCCCTCTAACTCGACGTAGAAGTATCGGAGCGGAATGGTAGTTATACCATTCGAAAGCCCTTAAAACGGCCAGTTTGCAACAATTTGTCAAAATCATGTTTTTATTTCAGTGCGTGATTTCATAAGCCGTTTTGTAAAATTTTGCGGTTTTTGAGGGTTGCATACGAGCTTCGATTTATCCAAGTAAAATGACCGGAAGTGACCGTTCATTAGATGCAGAAGCCGTTTCTTAATGTTTGAAATAAGTTGTAAACTGGCGCGTTACAATAAAAGGATGGTTTAGAAAATTGTTGCAAACTGGTCGTTTCAAGGGCGTTCGAATGGTGTAACTATCATTCCGATCCGATACTTCTACGTCGAGTTAGAGAAGAGTGTGTTTTTTATTGGGTCAGCCTGTATTTTTCAGCCCTATGCCGATTCGCATTTCAAAAATTTAAACGCTTCAAAATCCCGAAAATAGATTCTCATACATTTTCCGGTACTTTAACCCACGCATCACTTACAATTTGCCTCTTTGATAAACGCTAAAAGGGGCTGATACCCAACATCGGAAAAGCAGTTCCTGATCGCGACGTCAAACGGTCTCTTGAAGGCGGTGACGGTGAAGTGCATGTGGATGCATTGGTTTCCGTTATCGCACGTTTCTATCGGCCCCTGAATTCAAGCATTCAAATCATTTCTGAGATTTCTTACATCAACTGTGCCGCAATGAGTCGTGAGGTTGGCACCTTCTGCCGCTCCTATGACCTCGTCACCCCATCTGAAAAATATGTTGGAACTTGGCGCATGTTGTTGTTTTCGAGAAAGGTAAAAGCACTCACTCTACATATTGAAGCTTCTTCAGCATCACCGGATCTCCTTGCAAGCAACTGAAACATTTTTGGGCGGTCGTGCCGTGGATGTGTAAGCTGAGGAGACAGGGGAGCAGTAGAAGTACGCGAAATCGGGCAACCATCTTACTAAAAAGCCCATAAAAAGTAAGGTCTATTGGTACCTAGCTGTAAAAGGGAAAATACGAAAGTGCACCAGCGAAAATGGCGTTTATCCGCCCGAGCCCAGATTTTCCCCCGACAGGTCACTGGATAGTGCCTGGGGGCACTCTTTCAGGCTAGAACCACTGGCGTCGTGCCAAGAGAAGAGCACAGGTCTTTTGGCGCCCAGATTTTTCATTTAGCTATCGGCGAAAAATATTTAAAAATGCCGCAAAAAAAGGTGAAAAGGTGCACATTTGGTAATGCAGCGCTTAGAAACTAACGGCCGGGTAACTCAAATTTGTTAAAACTTTATCCCAAATACGTTTCGTTATGACTTTAATTATAAGCTGTAATCAATCCGTTTAGTATATTTTTTGATGCTCTAGCGAATGGCAGGCCAAAATCCCGGTAAACAAACGGAAATATTGAAAAATTTGGCATCCCCGGGCCGAGGGGAGGGGTGCCATGAAGCCTAGCCTCGAAGTTTTTCTATGATGTAAATCGTTTTAGACCTGGATTGTTTTTGGGTGTGAAAAAGCTCCGAGCCTATTTTTAGCCCTCGATCCAAGGGCATTTTCAAAATATCGAAATCAACAAAGAAAGGAAAGGCGCGTTAATGTATTAATCGAAACCAAGGTTTTTATTGCAACTCATACTTTACAAATATACAGTGGTATACACATAATTTGCCGTTAAAAAAGGCTTAGGACAAAGAGAGGAAACGTGCGAAGATTGCCACAAATACCATGATAATGGAAGTAGGGCCCGCGGCGCCACGGGTGTCCTTCTTCAACTCGTCCGTCGTCAGCGTGTTGCACAGCGTGGCGTTGCAGAACTGAACCCAGGCGGCGACTGAAAATTTCCTTTATATCATATTTTCTTGCCATTTCCCATACTTATTTTGCCTGCGCATCACTTACAATTTGGGTTTTTGACGAACATAAAAAGGGGTTTGTCACCGGGATCGGTATAGCAGTTCCGGATCTCGACGTCAAACGGTCTCTTGAAGGCGGTGACGGTGAAGTGCATGTGGATACATTGGTTTCCGTTATCGCACGTCTCCATCGGCCACTGAATTCATGCATTCAAAACGTTTCTGAATTTTCTTACATCAACTGTGCTGCAACGAGTTGTGAGGTTGGCACCGCGTGCTGGCCAGAGGACCTGGTCACCCCAGCTGAAAATTAACTTATTGTAAAGCGTTTTTACATAGGCTGCAAATCCCACTTGGGACCGAGCCGACCTGCTACAGAATTTTTCGCTGATCGCAAATCTGTTTTCAAATTGTCGCTGGTTGTCTTAAAATCGCATTGACCTTTTGAAGCGAGTTTTTGGCAAAAATTTAAAATGGCCTTTGAATTAGCGAAAAATTCTGCACAGAAAGGTAAAATTCCATCACTAAGTGCCTTGCTAGAGCGCAAGCATGTCGCCGCTTTCCGAAACTGTAAAAGCACTTACTCTTCCCGTTCCAGTTTCTTCAGCATCACCAGATCTCCTTGCAAGCAGCTGAAGCATTTTTCGGCGGCCGTGCCGTGAAAGTAGAACCCGACGAGGCAGGGGAGGAGCAGCAGCAAGCGAAACTGGGCAGCCATCTTACTAAAAAAGACTTAAAAACGCCATAAAAGAGATCCAGGACAGGTCGTCCCAATCATAAAAAACACCCCTTCTAATTCGACGCAAAAGTATCGGATCGGGATGATAGTAACACCATTCGAAAGCCCTTGAAACGGCCAGTTTGCTACAATCTTCGAAACCATGTTTTCACTTAAATGCCATTTTACATTTTAGAAGCCATTTTATAACTTTTTGTGCTTTTTTGGCTTTGCGTACGAGCAGATTTGCCTCAATTTCTCCAAGCAAAATTACCGGAAGTGGCTGTTAATTAGATGCAGAAGCCGTTTCTGAGTGTTCTGAATGGATTGTAAACTGGCGCGTTGCAATAAAAAGATGGTTTAGAAAATTGTTGCAAACTGGCCGTTTCAAGAGCTTTCGAACGGTGTAACTATCATACTGATCTGATACTTCTGCGCCGAGTTAGAGGTGGTGTTTTTTATTGGGACACCCTGCAAAGAAAAGATTAAAAAAAATTTAAGAAGAACGGTACATAAATAAAATAGGGAAAATAAGTAAGCGCACGATCAAAAATAGTGTTTATTCCCCCGATCCGTAGACTTTGACCTAATAGGTCGCTGGACAATGCCGCTGGCATCCTTTCAGGCTAGATCCACTGGCGGCTTGCCAGGAGGTCTCTCTCCCGCTCAGGTCATTTGCCGCCCAAGTCTATAACTAATCTAGCTATCGGCCAAAAATATGTAAAAATTCAGCAATTAAAATCTTTACTGTATTTTTTTTGATACTCTAGCAAATCGCCGGGCCAAAATCCCGGTAAATAGCGGAAATTTCTCGAAAAATCAAAAATCGAAATCGAAATCGTAAAATTTTGGCATCCTCGAACTGAGGGGAGGGGTAAGGTGATGTCTAGCCTGAAAGTTTTCCTAGAATACAAAATCGTTTTAGACATGGATTGTTTTCTGGTGTAAAAAAGCTGCGCCGGTATTTTTCCGGCCCTCGATCGAACAGCATTTTCAATAAAACTGAAAATACTGAAAATCTAGAATTTTCGACTTTGAGGCGGTTGCAAAATTTTATATTACTTTTCACGGCCTTAAATCATTTGCGTAGTATATTTTTTGCCGTTCTATCAAATGGCATTAACGAAATGTCACAGTAATCTAAGATATTACAAATAATGAGTGCCTTCTACGTCAATTTATCCTATTCCAATGATCCCATGTGCACCAGGTTGAAGATAAAGATTTTAGGGAGAAAACCCTGGTATCTACGGTTTGGTATTATTAAAATTTATTCGCATCAAAAACCTGATTAAAACAAAGTAACAAAGCGGCTGATGATCGCGATAAAAACGACGAAAGTCGAAGTTGTACCCGCGGCGCCACGGGTCGTCTTCTTCAACTCGTCCGTCGGCAGCGAGTTGCACAGCTGGCCGTTACAAATTTGAAAATACGCGGAAACTGAAAATTGTCTTTTTTTTTGTAAACTATAGGGGAAACATGGTTAGATGTATTTGTAAAACAAAGAAAATATCGCATATAACTGTTTCCTAGCTTCTCCACAGACTCACAGTTGGAATTTCTGATGAACGACAACGTGGATGCCTCCCTGGGTCCCATGCGGCAGTTCCGGATCTCCACGTCGAACGGTTTCTTGAAGGCGGTGACGGTGATGTGCATATGAACGCATTGGTCCCGCTTGCACGTCTCCATTGACGGCTAAATTTTTTTAAATTAAGAAATGTTTCTGGCTCGTTAGCGGGGGGGGGGGTGGGGGATTAGCCGGTGAATTCTAACTTTTCCGAAGTTTCCATAGACTCCAAATAATGAAGAATGGACTCTTTTGATAGCATTTCCGGCTAGACAACGTTCTTCAAAAAGTATTAAACTTGGTCTAAATTGTATTAGAAATAGATAAAAAGGGAATTAAAAAGAGTAAAAAAGCAAAATCAGACAAAATCCAACGTATAAATTTACATTTGTTTGTTTTTACAATTCAAAACGGCTAAAACTTTTCAAAATCGATGCCTTATTATAATAGAGGTCATGCTGAAACGTACCCTACCCCCCGCTACTGAACAAGAACCAAAAGCATTTCTCAAAATTGCCTACATCAACTGTGCTGCAATGGGTGGTGAGGTTGGCCCCGCGTGCTTCCGTGAGGATCCCGGCACCCCATCTGAAAATTATTTTGGACATCACCATCATCACGCTGTGTTCGAGAAAAGTAAAAGCACTCACTCTTCCTGTTCCAGTTTTTCCAGCATCATCGGATCTGCTTGCAAGCAGCTGAAGCATTTGTCGGCATGGGTGCTGTGGAGGTAGAAGCCGAGGAGGCAGGGAAGCACTAGAAGTACGCGAAATTGGGCAGCCATCCGACGATAAGACAATCGATAAGCCTGAATAGGGAATGGTATACGGTTTCTAGAGGCGTAACGAAGAAGGCACTAACGAATTCCTGCAGAAGGAATTAGATTTATAAATTTTGAGAACTTCTTTACGCAACGGGATGGTTACTAGATTTTGCAAATTGGGAGAGTTCAAGACTATTGAAAAAAAGAAATGTAAAAAGGCTTGCATGCGGCTGGACTTCGCGCTACACCTGCGGTCCCTCCCCCGCCGAAACGCGCGCGACCTGGCTCACTATGCCCAAAATTGTGCAAACATGCGCCCCACTCGTTTTGCTTTGGCGTCACCTTCAAAGTTTAATCAACCTTTAATAATTTAATCGAATACTTTATCATAATTCGTTTATCAGTTTGGGGATTCTGACCGCGCTCTAACCGGATCCGAAGGGAGCTAGGCTCTGGCTCTTTTCCACTTCGAGTTGAATTTGGGACGCAACGGACGGACGGACGGACACCATAAAAAAATTATTATAGTGGATTGGATTCTGTAAAAGTGACAGATTTGAGATTACAGTAGCCTGACTAGTTCAAAATCAAGCAGATGCACAGCAGAGCAAAAACCTGGTCTCAGCCTCCCCTCCGGGCATATTGACCTTTCTAGGGCCATGCTAGCTAACTGTTGCCCCAGGCATACTTGGAAAGTATCCATCACCTGCTGGGCAAAAAGATCCCACGGATGTTGCCATCGATTGAGCGGGAAAGGGATGATATAATCGATCACGTGCCTCGCTTGCCTCTAGTATGGTCATACGACCTTCATTAAAGGGGCTCCGAAACCTGGTCCACGGGCCCCGCTGTGATTCTTGGCAAAAGCCAGATGGTGCGGCAGCGCGACCGCGTCGCGTGTGACCTTTTCCCCTGTTGGACGCGAAAACGCCCGAATTTAAAAATTCCGATACTATTTTTGAATCCTCCAAAAAAATTTGATCATTCCAGACTTTTAAATTATGAAAATTGATCAGAGAATCACCGAGATCGAGAGATTGGGTGCCTTACATGGCACTACGACATGCAATCGCCGCGCGCTAAACAAGTTTTTTCTCAAACATTTTACGTTTTTTTTTCGCAATCAGGCTACCTTTTTACCATTTTGCAGTGATTTCTTTTTTTTTTTCAGACGGTTCCACACCCCCGCACGCACGAAACTGACTGGGCCCCTTTAAAGGGGTACCGGCGGCATAGGTCGATCTCCCAAGATGGACTGTTTGGCAAGGAGCCAACAGGGCAGAGACACGCAGAGACTTTTTCTTTCGCTCGTGTCATCGATTATTTATTTCGTCGTTAACCCCTTAAAGGAATTGGGAAATAACAGAATCTACCCTTATCGTCGACTGGACGATGCTGACTACTCGACAGGTCAAATGACACGCTCAAGCATGCATGAAAGCATTAAAATCGAGTCGCCTGCGAAAAAAATTTACAAAGCGTTTGGAGTCAGCATTTGCAGCGCGTAGCTGTCAAGATTCTAAACCCGTCGTTGGAACGAGTCGAATCTCACCCTGTATCCCCCTTTAGATGTAAAATTGTTGCTTCACGTGAAACGCCAAATGACACCTTGAACATGGCCTCGAAAGTAACAAAGTTGTGGCGTTGGAGCAACAAAACCTGAAGAGTTTGCCGGTCGCTAGGCGTTCCGCGTAGCTGTCTAGACCGAGGCGATGGGAGGGGTAGATTTCCGCGCTTTCTGATCCCTTTAAAAACAAGTACAACGATTTCTAGCAGTTCAAACCGCTCCACAACCATTCGAATTCGCAATTAAAAGCTGCAACAAGTTTTCTCGCGTTTTGAATCTTGTAAAAATTTTTGGAAAAAAGAGGTTTGCGCGGCTAGTTTAGAGGAATAGCGGTATTTCCTTTTTTGCAATATAAACACGATGCAATTTATAAAAAACCCTTGGGGTAAAATTCCTCTGCAAAAATCGATCGTTTGCGAAGAAGCAGGTCCGTATAATTATCTTTTATTAACAAAGAAAGATGGTTTAGAGAGCAGTTTTGGTAAGTTGATCGCTTGCGCAGCGCGATTGTTTATACGGCCCTGGTGCCGTTCCATACAGCGTCCTTCAACTCCTGCGCCGACAACTTGTTACACATCTTGCTCTGGCATTCGTTGGTGTACATCGACCCTGAAAAATTCGGTATAATGGTGAAGAGGGCGTTATGTAGAGAAGCGTGTTGCTTATCCGGAGGGCGCAAAGGTTCTTTCGCATTATCGGGCGGGGGGGGGGGCGGTAGGGGTGGGACCAACGTTCTAAGGATCCCATTTTGCTAGTAAACGTGTTTCTGACCTGTTTTGCTACTCGTAAACGTAGAATCTTTACAAATGTTGATTAAGAATACAAAAAAAAACTTTGAAATTTTTGATAAAAATACAAAAATAGTGCTTCTTCGACGAAAAACGAAATTCTCACACTCATTTACAAATTTTCCAGATTTTTGAAAACCCCTAAGATATAGTCAAATTTAAATTTAAAAACATTAATAGTTCAATAACGATTTTCTGAACAATTTCGGGACTTTTAGAAAAAGTGGTTTCGGACTAGCGGGGGCAGGGGGAACAGTTTTTGTTTTTCACCTATACCTGTTGATGTTATATAAAATATTTTTACGATGTTTCTTGTAGTTTTTGTATGCTGGAAACTATCAAAAACCCTTAAAAATTTTGAAATTTTGAAAATATTGACTTTTTGTGTCATTTTTCACACATTTTTAGTCAAAAGGAAAAAATTTCGAAAATGCGTGTTATTTTTATATTGTTTCTATATTCAAAAACTATGTAAAATGCCAGAAAAATGATTTATATTCTCTTATAGGGTCCTGGAGAAGCACAGGGAAAAATTTGGTCCCGACGCTAAAAAGCCCCCGCCCTCGCTAACAGTCCAGAACCGAACCCCCGCCCCCCCCCCCGATAATGGAAAAAGAACCGGCGTTAAAGCTGAAGCTATAAATCTAAAATTTAAATGCATTAAAATGGAGAATACTTACAGTTATCGAATCTCACGTAATACCACTCGAGTCCTTTCCCTTCGCCGCATTGCCGGACATCGATATCGAACGGCTTTCCATAGGCCGTCACAGTGATGTGGGCATGGATACATTTCGTATCCTCACAGAAATCCATTGGAAAAACCTACAAAAATTGCAATACGTTTTTTTGTGAAACTAAACCTTAATCGTGGCGCAGTTCTGATTAAAGTTTGCGTTGCGGGCCATGCTCACCACAGTTTGGGCCCAACTAGAACTAAAAAAAACAAGTAATTAAGGTGGTAAAATCGGTGGGAAACTTTGAAACGCGGAATCCAGGGTGTTCCAAAAAAGACCCGCTTCTAGCAGTCCTCGGCCGTCTCCGACTTTGACGATTTATGTATGTATCGAAAAGCTCTCGACGAGCTGAAGAGCTCTGTGCCTTCCGACTTTCAAAAGTCTCAAATGTTTCGGAAAATTTTTGATATTTTGCGAATTTTTGATGCTTCACAGAAGGTTTTCTTACAAAACTGCGATTTATAAATTTTTATGGGTTTTGCGGCAGCCTAAAAATGGCTTTTTGGAAGGGAAAACGAGGCCCTTGGACAAAATACAGCTGGAATCGCGCTTTAGCCATTAAAATGAGTTTTTAAGAAAAACGTGTAGCTTTTGCACAAGAATTGCAAAGAAATTCCAGAATTTTGAAAATCGGACAGCGCATCGCGGACCGCTGGAGGGATCCTTTTTTGGGACGCCTTCTAGTATGATCCTTACGTGTCGTTTCTCAGCTTGTCCATCAGGGCCGGGTCGGTTTGGTAGCAGCTGAAACAGACGGCAGCTACTCCATGGAGGTTGAAGGCGGCGAGGCAGGTGAGCAGCAGGAGCACGGAGAATCGAGCGAGCATCTCGGTGTCGTCTCAGGGATGAACGATCTAGTTGATGCTCAAGGCTGAAAGAGGAGTGTTGTCGAATCGTTACTTGGAGAGGCAACAGAAATTGGAAAAAAACGCGGGAAAAATTGATGAAATGTGCGGGAAAGTTGCGAATGGAATCAGGCAGGCACGCATGCCAGGTCACCGAATCTTGCCTCGGGTGCTGTTTTACCGTAGGCTAGCCATAAGAGAGGAGGAAGAGGGGAGAGAGAGAGAGAGAGAGAGAGAGAGAGAGAGAGAGACAGAGGGAGAGATATCACATCGATATACCGCTCATTTCAAGTACGGATGCCGGGGCCTGGCTATGTGCCTAACCTACAGCCTTCTTCAATATTTCCTCAATGTTTTATCTTGAAGGTTTACACAAGAAAGGCTGAGATGTAGTTTGAATTACGACAAATATTTGTTTTCTAAAACCTTCGAGCTAATTACCTGATTACAGTATCTAGCCTCCTTAAAGCATAATAACATTTTTGAGACAGACCCGACAATATTTTAGCGCCGTTTAGGAAGCACTGGCAAAGTCTCAAGGGTTATTTGACATTAAACACTTTTATTCACAACGTAAAAAGGATCAGAGCAATGTAAGAAATCCAAGGATGATGACGAACAGTGACGAAGAGACGATAGTTGAGGGAGCACCGACATTGCGGATGGCCTTCATCAGGTCGGCCGTCGACAACTTGTTGCACAGATCATTCGTGCAGTCTTGGATCCAAGCGGTAACTGAACATTGCTTTGTCGATTTCATTGTGGCATCGAAAGCCAATCGAAAAAGTTATAAAATTGCCGGAAAAATAGTTTTTTAGTTGAAAATGTCAATGAATTAAAATTCTTTAAATTTTCTGCGGTCTTGCGATATTTTCTAGACCAAAAACCACTAATAATACTAAAGAATTTACTATAAAACTCTGATTTTTGTCCTAGAAAGACATTGGCAAGATGCCCCCGTTAAACTACGCTTCTCCCCTCCCCCTCCCCCCTCCACGGATTCAAGATCCGCAGATTCGACAATTTGGGGGAAACTTCGGCCAAGAAGAGGTTTTTTAGTCTCGCTTAGAGTTTTTAAAGGTCATCAGGACTTACAGCCGGGATTGCGAGCGTAGAACGATCGAGGATTCGATTCGGTCCCCGGTTGGCAGTTCCGGATCTCGACGTCGAACGGCTTCGCGTAGTAGGTGACCGTGATGTGCGCGTGGACGCATTGTTGCTGCGACTCACACGTTTCCGTTGGCGACTAAATACGCAAATTGGCGATTAGCATTTCGAAGTAAAGACATACCCATTTTCTAAAATCAACGTTTCGAAGGTACTGTTCTATTTGGCCGGTGCAAAAATCTATGCCGGGAAACCTTTTATTTTTCATTATTCGGGGCTGAAATCAAAACTCGTAGTCGATTTTTTGACGCATTATCGATTGGCGTTAAAAAATCCTTTAAAAAATGCCGAAAATGTCGAAAATTAGCGTTCCACTCCAGGTTTCCAGGTGGAAACGAGTTTTAAATCTTGTTCTTGCTAGAAGTCTTTTAGGTATTACAATTTTTGGATGCCCTGTCGAATGTCCATTTCAAAATATCGAAAAATACCGAAATATATCGAAAACTAGCGTGAAAATTAACCAAACTAACTAACTAGCTATGCTCACGGCATAGTTTTTAAAACGAATTGTTAGTTTGATGTAGGAAGTTTCGAAATGGTGTCTTTTCCAAATCGATGAAATCTTCAAAATGATGAATTTCAAAACGAAGTGGTGATTTTCGAAATCTTCAATGGGCATTCAAAATGCCTTTGCCAAGCTTCATACGTCGACTGTGCCGCAGTGAGAAGAAAAATTTGCGCCGCGTGCCATCCTGATGACGTCTTTGCCTAATCTGAAAATTGGCAAAATCGTTTATATTTTTCCCTTTGGCCTTGTTTTCCACTGGTTTCCGGAGCGAAAAACCGTAGGGTTCGAGGTTCGGGAGCCGCTTTGGAAAATAGGTACTCACTTTTCATGTCGAAGTTTCTCAAACATAACGGGATCGGCTTGTAAGCAACTGAAGCATTCGGTGGCCACTGTGTAGGTGGTCAAGCCAAAGAGGCAGGTGAGCAGCAGCGGCAAGGACGATCGGGATATCATCTGGCTTCTTCGGATGGTAAAGTGTTCAGGCTTAAAAGATACTTTTAAAGATAAGTTAGGAATAAATTAAATTAAAAGATATCATCACCAAAAAAAACCCTCCCGCGTTTGGCCGCCTTACATCCATGGTTCCCAAAACTGGTCCAGAAGTGAATTGGACTAACGGCAATCCTGGTTATAGCCCGCCAGCTAAAGTAGTTTTTGTGATAAAACAAAGATAAATTTTATCTTCCATTTTTGATAGGATTTTCGTGAGAATACCTATCCCTGTTAAATGTAAATGTTTCGGCAAGCCTTCCTCACCACTAAAAATTTTTCCTAACAAAAATTAGCCAACGAATCGCCTGTTTAAACGACTTCCACAACCCTAGTCCCCATCGATCTTAAGCGAAATGGGCAATTCTGAGCCGGAAGTCGATGCAAATCGATGTAAAGTCGAAAAGATAGCCGAAATTTCGGCCCGAAAAACCTGTTAAGAACAGCGTTAAAAAAAAATCAGTATTTTGTATAGAACTCGAGGACTACTGTAGCGATCGGATTATAGCCCAGGATTTTGGTTATTTAGGGTCCAACACACCCTTGTGCAAGGTATCGGACCGCTTGGATGAAAGGCGGCCAAATTATGGGGGGGGGGGCGTTTTTCGGACACCGAGTACATCTATTAAAATCTTGCTTAAACAGGGGGAACGCTATATATAAAGGTCCATTTAAGATAACATGACGGTAAAAGAAAGACCAGTAAACGCATCCGCGTTCACCCCCTTGAAAAGCACAACATCGGTGTAATCGGGGCTGTAATCTGGTTCAAGTTCCCGGCAGAACTCTCGAAATACTCCCGCCCAGGACAATGCCCGAAAGTTTAGAAATGCGCGGGAGGTCAAGAGTTTGGCATTGGCTAGCCATTGTCGCATCCCACCTAGGACACGGTGCCAAAACTGACCGCAGGCGCCATTCCAGGGCATCCCTTAGCTGATTGCAAAAAAAGAGCCACACGTCGTGGCTGCAAGCCATTGATTGATGGATTGTTTACGACAGATCCGCCGAGGTCAGAGATCAGCCTGGAAAGTGCCGTAATTCAGCAAGAGAATTGGGTGCCGGGCTGTTCTGGACTGCAAATTTCGAAAATCGAAATCACCTGCAGGTCTTTACTTTCCCAGAGCCTTAACATTTGTCTTTTATTCACAGCAAGAATAAATTCAGTATAAGGCTCGCTGATTCGCGACGCGCGGCTTAGCCCTTCACCACGGCGGCCTTCTTCAGCTCGTCAACCGACAGCTTGTCGCAGCGATCACCCTCGCAGGCTTGCATCCAGATAGCTGAAAAAGTCATTGGTATCAACTATCATAATTTCCTTGAGATGCCCGTGTGTGTGAAGTCAAATTCAATTCATGAAAAAATCTCTAGCCAATTTCGAAGTGGAAATTGATCAGGATAATCGAAAACGATCACGGTTCCTTGATTTTGGTGAAAAACACTACCATAACTGCTGTATAACTTTCAAAATAAAAGTCCGCAGCAAATTTGGAAAACGGATTCGGAATCAGCGAAAAGTTCTTCACAAGATGTACTTGGTCCCGAATCGAAACTCCAACTTGAGTAAAAACACTTTACAGTAAGTAGTTTTTCCAGGGGGATTCGGCTATGCAAAGTATTCAAAGCTATCGGGAAGTTTCTAAGTAGTTCAGGTATCGAAGTTTTTGCAGGGGTGGTTTGCTAGAGGTATCATCGCGGGCATTATTGAAGGTAGCGATGTAATGTGGTGGTTTAGAACATGGAGGGTAGCCCGAGGCGAGCCGATGCCAGTCGCGAAGTGGCTGTAATCGGCCGATCTTCTTATACGGCGGGCACCGCATCCTTTTCCACAGGGAGTTTCGGCTATAGGGGGTATCTGAAGCCATCAGGAAGGTGGGGGTATTGATGGGGATAACGTCAGGCTGTGGGGGGCGCGAGATATGCCGGGTAGCTGGCAACCAGCTAATTTCAGTCGTGAAGCGGCTGAAATAGCTCGCATGGATAAACTCAACACCTACCCCAGTTGTCTCCTTTCTGTCCCTCCACTTTGTTTTCCCACTGCTCCAAGAGCTTTCCTGTGGCGCAGGTACGGATGTGTGTAGAACCAAGCTTTTGAATTTCAAAGTACGCATGAATGCATTTGTTTCCCGGGCACGTCGACGTCGTCCCCTGAAATTCGATCCCTGTCTGGCATCCAACTGTGAACCTCTAAGGTTGTCGCGCAGTCGGTGCTCTCCTGGACGCCGTTGGTGAATTCTGGCGGGCTGAAAGAAGGGATGACTTTTCATACGATATGCGGCCTGGCACATTGTGTTTAGATGCGTCAGTTCCCTCGTCAGGTCTGCGACACTAGAGTACTCTATGGGAAAGCCAGTAAGCAAACCGCTAGACTTGACTTTACCCGTACCCCCAGCCAAAAGTTCCGACATTTTTTCAACTTTTCGGCGATTTTTGGAGATGTTGGCTACGCGATTCGATAGATCATCAAAGATATACTAAGAGCTTTAATTACAGACCAAAATGATGTAAAATAGAAAAGTAATGGCGAAAAGCTTGTGAGTTCCGGCTCGGGGGGATAACTTACAAAGCGGGAGTGCCAGCCAGCGCCATGACCTGCTGAAGAAGCTGCAGTCCTTGGGCGCATTGGTAGCAGTCGGCGGCAACGGTGTCGAGGCGGAACCCTAGCAGGCAGGTGAGCAGCAGAAGGGCCGGGACGCGTCCTGACATCTTGCAGAATTGAAGGGAAGATATCCGAGGGATGAGGGCCGTGGTTTTATACCTGGTTCAAGCCATGAATGTTAATTTCTTACGGGGGCGGCCGTGGTCAAAATCGCGATCCGCAGCGCGGTGTAAATCACCGTTATGGTCGCCGCAAATAATGCTTTCCCCGGTATCGATAAAAACGAAAAAACGGAGGAAGAAACGAAAAACGAAAACGAACATTTTATCTACGTTCGTTACGTCTACGTTTTTTCTCAATTACCTTGATAAAAATTCAAAGGAAATTTGGCCAAAAACCGCTGCACGGCGTTGCTATTACAAGCGTGATATCAGCTAAATAATGATTTGACGGATTATTTAGAAAGGTTCTTTTACATTATCGGGGAGGGACACTTTCCCTAAGCATAAAACCTGGTCAATTCCCATTAAAAAATGCAAAAAATATAGTTTTTTCGACAAAAAGCGACCGTTTTTGACCAAAATTTCGACTTTTTAAAAATGGTTCGGAGGTTTTAGCTAGTTTTTCTAGCTACAACATATTTTATTTTACCAAAACCGGCTCGGTTGACTTTACCTCCCCCCAGCCTGAGGGTCCCAAAGTTTTCGATATTTTCGTTATTTTTTTGGGATTTTTTGACGTCATTAGATATGGCATCAAAAATATACTAAGAGTTTTTATGGCAGCTCAAAATATTGTAATGCAAAATAGTTCTAGCAAAAACAAAAAAAAACTTCCAAAAATGGGGTTAAAAAGCTGGTTTTTATACTTCCGTTATTTTTCGACCTTTTCAATCGCCATCCGATAGAGCATCAAAAAATATATTAAGACTTTTAATTACAACCAAAAATAATGTAAAATGAAAGAGCCATGTCAAAAACAAGCAAAATTCTAATAACCGCAGAAACACTATTTTAATTGTATAAATTTTTATTCTTAAGTTTTTGCAATTCCCGGCCAGGGGATAATAGCTGGGACCTAGGGCTATCGATTGGCGGCCTTAAAAAAATTTTTGGGGCTTTCCGGCTGGGGGGTAAAGTAAACTCTTGCCCTAAAACCCTATGAAGATACCTCCCAATGAAGTTACTATGCATTTCTAGCCTTATGCAATGTTTATGCCCCCGATAATGCGAAAGAACCTTTTAAAGACCGAGCAATAAACTTAAATTTTGAGAAACGAAAGCCGGTGTAACAATTAGCCCGATCCGAGTTTCTTCCGGACCGCTAGTGGTAGACGGACTCCTTGGTACCACGTCCCTGAAATGTTTCAGGAAATAGCGTTTCCGGCGCGCCCGCCAAATTTATTCACATCACAAAGGCAAATCAGAAGAAGGCAAGGATATTGGAGGCGAAGAAGGTGACGACGGGGAGCACGAGGTACGAGGCCGTCGACGATTGCTTCTTGGCCGCTTCTTCAGCGCGCTGCTTCATTTCGGTCATCGCGATCTTGTTGCACAGATCGCCTTCGCAGGAATGGCCCGTTATTGTCGCATCAGCTGAACGAGACACATGAAAAACTACATATTCGAAGAGTTCCGGGATCTTATGCTCGGGAGGGGGGAGAGTGAAAGGTTCTTGACTGTTAGCAAGGCGGTTTTAGCGGGGGTAATAGTTAATATACCAAAATGTTCGCCTTGCTCTGGCGAGTATTTTGGTGTACTTTACACACCAGTAGGTTAACGCCGAGACACGGTAGTTGGTGTCCGGCTGGGGGGGGGTAAACGACACTTAAAGGGATAGTTTAACGTTTAGAGCTTGGGCTGGTACCTTGGGAAACTATGGACGTAGGCACAGTGCGCCCGAACAGTCTCGGCTCCCTGTTCATCTACAGGTGTGTAAAGTATACCAAAATGTTCGACTTGCTGTGGCGAGGGTAAGAGTCTAGAAAACCCCCCCCAGCCGGCACCAACTTTTGTATCTCGGCCCCCCTTTGTGCTAGCGAGCTCTAAAGTATACCAAAATGTTCGCCGTAGGCTAATTAGTAAGACTACATTGCAGTTCAGTCAAAAAAAGTAGCGAAAAATAAAAATAAGGAAGGTAGAAAGGTTGAAAAGTCGGCTGGGGGGGTTTCCTAGACTTGAGCCGTGGCGAGTATTTTGGTATACTTTACACACCTGTAGATGAACAGGGAGCCGAGATACGGTAGGTGGGGGTCGGCTGGGGGGGGTATCCTGAGTTTAGCCGTTTTTGGATATAAAAACAGTATAAAAATAATACAGAAAATAATAATCAGTTTTCAAATGATTGAAATTTTTTAATTTTAATTTTCGGTTCAAATTGTTTAAAAATCATCCCGAACGGAGCTGCTGGCCGCTAAAGGCAGTACTTTTTTGGGGCCGGAGAGGCTTTTCCCTATCTTCTTTGGCCGAAACCCCACTTACCTTTCGGTAGCGGAATTGATCCATAGCCGGGCGCCCACTTCTCCAGCCAGATCCCGGTGGCGCAGGTGCGCACCTCCAACTGCTCGACGGTCGCTTCCGGAGTCTTCGAGTCGATGTGCATGTGGATGCACTTGTTGGTACCCGAGCACTTCTTTGTCGAATCCTGCATGAAGGCATTAATGTAGTTTTGAGCCGAATAATCCACCTTAACGTTCTCGCAATCGACGGAGGGCTCGGCGCCGTTGAGGATCGATACGAATTCCGGTCTAAACAAAACCGATAGAATTATCGCGGCCCTGCGGGCTTTTGAGTCGAACAGGGTCTCGGCATTTGGTTGTCTTCTACCCAATCAGGAACAATTTTTTTACCAGCGATTGGAAACCCATAAAAACTATGTGCAGCCAAATTTTCTAAACTAAATATTGTGAAACAATAAAGTTATCGCACAAAAACCGAGTTTTAGGAAGCGCTGGTATTCATTTTTGGCTATATTTTCGCAATTAGCATGCCGATTTTGAGCAATTTTCCGAAAAATGTTCATCTTCGGCTCGGTTTTTGCGAATTTTGATAATAAAAAGCTATGAAATACCTAAATTTAACGTAATTTTGGTATTTCATAGCTTCTTTAGGTGGAAAATTTCTTTAGGTGGAAAAGTGCCCTCTTCATTTTTGCTAAACATTTCGAGCTCAAAACCGCCAAACTCCTAGTGCAAAGGGCAGTAGAACGAAAACCCACACGCTGAGATAGTGGGTGAGGGCCCGGTCGCTGCCCTGGATGCAGTGGTAGCAGTCGGCGCGGGCCACGTCGATCAGGTAGAAGCCGAGCAGGCAGGTGAGCAGAAGAAGAACCGGAACGCGAGCCATCGTTGTTGGTGAAATAAGTCCAGGTGCCGGTGAAATCTTTTTATATCTGGGCCCATATGCAATTCTTGGGTTCAATCCGGTTCCAGGATTGAAATTACTTTTGGGAATTTGGCGGATGCAAATTGCACATTCATCGGATGGCTAATTACCAGAGGTGCACAGCGCTACCTTGTTAAAATTTTCGCGTCTCTGTCTGAGTGTCTGTGTGTGTGCCTTGGAGGCTCGATTTGAGGGAACTTGGGAAAAAATAGTACGACATGTTCAAATCCTCCACCACTATGGGTATTTGTCATTTTCCGACGATTTCGGACAGCACATGCCCATGAAATGCGACAAGGAATAGCGTTTCCGGCGCGCCCGCCAAATTTATTCACAACACAAAGGCAAATCAGAAGAAGGCAAGGATATTGGAGGCGAAGAAGGTGACGACGGGGAGCACGAGGTACGAGGCCGTCGACGAAGGGCTTTGGGCGGCCGGAGGCTTGAAGTGCTGTTGCAATTCGGTCGTCGACAGCTTGTTGCACAGATTGCCCTCGCAGGCGTGCCACATAACCTCGAAATCACCTAAAAGAGGGATTCGTGGCAATTGGAAAAGCATTTTGGGTTTAGAGCGGACTAGCAGAGATTATTAGGGAAAATCACTGGCAGCATTTGACCAGAAATTAGTTAATAGGTACGACTCTAATTTACCCCCGCCCCGAGCCCCAACCTTTCAGCCATACGCCTTATAAATCCGTGGGGTACCTCAAAAATTTTTTTGATATTCTCGTTATTTTCACGTAAATTTTTCAACGCTATTCGATAAGGCATCGAAAAATATACTAAGAGTTTTTGTTACAGCTCAAAAAAAACTTTCAAAATTGGGTTGAGCGGCTGTTTTTCGACATTCGCGCTATTTTTTCGACATTTTACAGATGCCATTCGATAGAGCATCCAAAAATATACTAAGAGTTTTAATTTTAGTTGAAAATAATGTAATATAAAATATTTATGACGAAATAGATATTGAACTTGTTTAAATGGAGGACATAGAAAGAAAGCAAATTTTAACAAAAAAACGCAAAAAAAATAGTTAGGTTGGCCCCAACTGTCTGTCCCCACGCATAAAATCCCGCCCCCCGCATAACCCTCATATACTCAACTTTCTCGTTCTGATAGCCGTTCCCCCATTTTTCGTCCTGTGTCGGGACGCATGCACGGAGTCCCAGCTGCCGGTCGGTCGCGCCAGGCTTCATGTTGAAAAGCAGGTGGAGGCACTTGTCGGTGCCTTGGCACTTCCGTGTCGAGTCCTTCAAAGAAGTAATCGATTGCAGTAATCACCACGATTTTACCTTCGCGTGCCAACAATTAAGACTGATCTTCGCGTCGCCAAACAATGGGCCAAACTTCTTACTAAAAATGAAAATCTTGCCGGCGTGCGGGACAACGGATAAAGTGGCAAGATTTTACTTGGGCAAACTCGAGTTTCCCCCCAGCCCTAGCTTTTCAGACGTAAGTCGTATTAATGCCTGAAGTATCTCAAAATGTTCGCCGTCGTCGAATTACTATAAAAAAGTTGTTTCCCTACTTCAAAAATTGTTCGGAACATTTTTATGACAATCTTAAATCCGGATTTTCTTTAGTTCATTTTTGCTGGTCCAAAGCGAGTTTTCGTATCTCGGCGCACGGCGAATTTCCAGAGCAGTCAATTGTACGAAAATGTAGCTCTTGTTCTGTAAAATCAGCCTACAGTACCTTTGAATCGGTAAAAATAGCGAAAAAAGAAAATATTCGTGTGATACTTAATATTTTCACATTTCCAAAACTTATAAAAAAAATTTCTAGCAATTTTTGGCGTCAGGAAACTACTTTTTCATAGTAGTTTCACCACGGCATAAATTTTGAAAAACTCCATGCCAAATAAACCTAAAATCCGCAGTATATTTTTGCTGCTCTGCCGTATGGCAAATTCAGAATGCCGAAAAATAGCGAAAATATGGAAAACGAGCTATTTGAAACCATCTTTGAAAGATCATTTTGATTTTTGGCCTAACTTTTTTATGTCCGAATGTGTTGATTTGTAGTAGTTACACGCCTAGTAATGGCGTCAAGAGGGCCCCGAAAAAGCGGTAATCTCAAAAATTTTGGGACCCTGGGGGGGGGGGTAAAGCACGCAGTGAAGCGATGGAGTCAAGGGCAAAATCACAATGAACCTACTCATCTTTCAGACGGATGTAATCCATTAGGTCACCATGCAAACAAGTGTAGCAGTCGGCGCGGGCCACGTCGATCAGGCAGCAGCTGAGCAGGCAGGTGAGTAGAAGAACGATCGCAGCGCGAGCCATCGTTTTTGGTGAAATAATTTACGGGTGTCGGCGAAGCTGTTTTATCCGGCCATCAGGTTAAATTCCGGAGTTGAAGCTATGCAAATTACCCATTCCTGGGTATGATTACGCCAATTTTTTGGCCTAGAGCCTGATTTTTACATTTAAAGCAGTAGAAGCTGTAAGTCGCGCGGGTTCTGGATTTTTGATTACAGTGCATATTTTGCTGGGAATAGTGATGTCAGCATACCGCAGTTGCATCTTGGAGCCGCTTCCCCGCAAACTACAGCATCTTTGCATACGAAAAGCCAGGTATATAAACAGGGCCACGATTCTCTGAACATCTGTATCTCAGCCCTAATAAACCAAAAGCGGCCGACTGAGAGCGTGACAAAATCCGAAATAAACAGGAGAATTTTAGAAAAAACATCATCAACGTTGAAATTTTTGCTTTTTCGGTCTAACGTCTATGAAAATGGATAAAAACAAGCTAAATCCCTAAATTTTGTGACTTGACTTAGGATAGCGGTCTTTATAATTTTTGGTTACCGGAAATTACTAAAAACATTATTAAAATAAACTACAATTTATCACTAAGCAGGTATAGGCTATGAAAAAATAGTTGGCAGCCGCCCCCCGCTAAAATAACCGCCCGCCGTCAACCTGGAAGCACTCATTTTTGTCATTGAAATTCGTGAGAATGATGCAAAGTAAAAAAATCATGGGATCAGACGAGCCATTCAAGTCTAGTGATAATCAATTGATATGGGTTCTCTAGTCCCGTAGGCCTGACTGTCGAGATGTTTCAGCCCGGAAGAACTGGCCGAAGGCGCCAAGGAGAGCACCGCCTGCGCGAACATTCTAGAGGTATTTATCTGGATCGTTTAACCGCTTACTCTTACTGAATTTCAGGGGACGACTCTGACGTGCCCGGGCAACAAATGCACGTATACGTACTTTGAAGTCGCAAATCTGGGCACTGTTCACATCCGGAACTGCGTGTCGCCAAAGCTCTTGGAGAAGCAGAAGTGGGAGACTGGAGTAGAGGCACAGGGCGGAGGTAGGAGTATTTTGTAGTTGAAAAAACTGGCTTGCTTTAGTCCTCTGGGGCCAAGCCTGCGAGGGTGATCGCTGCAACAAGCTGTCGACCGACGAGCTGAAGAAGGGCGCCGTGCAGAAGGCTGAGGGTGCCACGGCTTCCAGCGACTCGTCGTCCATCTCCGCCATGTTGCCCGTAATCGCCTTCCTCGTCGCCAATATCCCAGCTTTATTCTGAATTGATTTGTGATGTGAATAAATCGGCGAAACGCCATCGTGGGCGTGGCACCAGACATGTCTCCCCTTCAGTTATCGCATTTGAATAAGTCCTTTGAAGTGAAAGAGCAGCAGGTATTTTGGCGTCGATAGGAGTGTTCGGTGCTTGGCCCCTAAAATACGGATATTTTTGGGCCTATTTTTGGAAAATAATTTTTCACGGGACGGACAGAATGCCGGAAAAGGGCTTTCGAATAAGTTATAGTACGTAAAGCTTACGGTGATTTTGCGGAAATGTCCGATGATCTCGACAAGGCTCTATTCCTGCCCTCAAATTCAAAAAATTTTTTTGGATGAGTTATTTGCAAATGATACAGATTATAGCTTATTTGTTAGAGCCTTTTTAAATGAATACGACGTATTAATAGGTTGTTGCGAAATTAAACATTACCCGGGTCCTACAAGCGCATAAAAGTACGATGTTGATTACAGATTCGGAATCCCCGGGTCCGATTCGAACGGATCCACTTTCACCCGTGTTGATATCCCACGGTCAGCTTGAGTACTTCCCTTGTAAATAATAGGAAATTTCCAGATTCTTGCCAGCTGCGCCCGGGAGAATTCTTTACGCCAAGTCGAAAATCCGAAGCTACCCATTGATTTCAGTTTTCATCTGGGAGGCGCTTCACCGGAAAGTGCTGCATATTTGCATCCCAAAATCCAGGTATAAAAGCAGGCACCGATTTCCTCAAATATCGCTCCATCATTTCTTCAGGATGTCAGGACGTGTTCCGGTTCTTCTTCTGCTCACCTGCCTGCTCGGATTCTACATCGACGCCGTGGCCGCCGACTGCTACCAGTGCGCCGAGGGACTATCCTCGTTTGGAGAGGCCGCCAAGGAGAAGACTATTGTGGACCAGTAGGTTATTTTAATAATGTACCCAAGCTGAAAAGCCGCTTCGCGGCTTTTCAACCCAGGCCCAAGCCAATAAACTAATATGTTTTTAATCTACTATATATAAATTTCTAATGCCGTACGCCCGCCGACCGACCGGGAATTCAGCCAAATTTTGCATTCAAATTCCAAATTCAAAGTGTGCAATGCGGGGGGTCAGCGCTGGTAATTTATAAATAGGAAAAGAAATCCCCGAAAAGAAAGAACTTGCCGAAGCGAGCGAATGCCTCCGAAGAGGCCAGATTCGCCGAAGCGAACGTTTCCTCGAAGGGACAAACGTGCTACGAGAGCAAGCGGGTTGTCCCGAAGGACACAAACCTCACCATGAAAGTGAGGCGGGTACTCTTAAACGAGTATTTAAGTGGTTAAATGTTGAAGATGCATTGACCTATGTTTTGCATGTGTTTTCACGCATTGCAATCAGAAAATAGGTTCTGTTCTATTTCGCGTGGGGGAAAAACTGTGCGGGGGGAAATATCCTTCGCGGAACCTTCCATCTTTTCGCTATTTTCTCGGGATTTTTGCAACGCCATTCGATAGAGCATCAAAAAACATACTAAGAGTTTTTGTTTTAGCTAAAAATATTGTAATATAAAAAAGTTATAGCAAAAACACAAAAAAACTATTGAAACAGGTGCCGAAATGTTAGTTTTCGGCATTTTCGCCAGTTTGATATTTTGAACCCGTCATTCGATAGAGCATCAAAAAATATACTAAGAGTTTTAATTTCATCTAAAAATATTGTTTTATAAAATAATTATAGCAAAAACAAGGTTTATTCGGTGTTTCCACATGGGATCGTTGAGTCGAAAGCTAGTTTTCGACATTTTCGATAACTTTCAAAAATTTCTTTAATGCCATGCGATAGAGCGTGAAAAAATATACTAAGAGTTTTAATAACAATTCAAAATAGCATCATATAAAAGAGTTATAAACAAAACGAAGAAAATTTCCCCCGCGCACAGTTTTTTCCCCCACGCGAAATAGAACAGAACCAGAAAATAATAAAAAGGTTTCCCCGATAAACTTTCCCTCTGCCCCCCCCCCCGCTAACGAACCAGAACCGAGAGGCGTTTCGGCCCGACAGAAGTTTGACCACTAAGCCCATACCATTTCAGGATGAACGACTATACCGCCGGCGTCAAAGACGGCACCCCCCTGCGCGTCCATCGCCGAGGTACACACTTGACCACGGCAGCACGACTTAAATTTCAGGGGACGACGCCGACGTGCCCGGGCAACAAGTGCATCCACATGGTTGTTGACGTTCAACCAGCCGCCATTGTGCACCTTCGGAACTGTGCCACGCCAAAAGCCTTGGAGAAATGGGAGACTGGAGCGAAGAAGTACGAAGGAGGTAGCAAAGTTACTTGACGCTTTGCATTTTGTAGTTGACAAGAGTCCGCAAAAAAAACCCCCCCCCCCACTTTTGTATCTCGGCTCCCTGTTTATCTACAGATGTGTACAGTATACCAAAATGTTCGTCTTGCTCTGGTGAGTATTTTGGTAAACCATACGCAGCTGTATGAGCAAGGGGCTGAGATACAGTAGGTGGGGGTCGGCTGGGCGGGGGGGGTATCTGGAGTTTAGCCACTGACGATTCTGGACTGTTAGCTGTGACCAGGGACGTAGCGTAAGGTGGGCCCCCTGGGCCCGCCCCGAAATCGGCCGGGGCCGAAAATTTCATAAGGGGGGACCCTTATGATTTTTATTTTCTCAAAAATTTTGATGCCTGCGTCGCTATTTTTACACGTTTTTACTGCTATTTTTAGAGCTATGCAGCCTTTTTTTTCCAAACGCTGTTTTCTCGTTAATTTTTTGAGCTTTCGGAAAAAATTTTTTCGGGGTCCCCCGAAATTTTTTTCTGGCTACGCCCCTGGCTGTGACAGGGAAACCAATTTTTTCGCTGTTTCTCTACGGCCCTATAAGTAAAAATAAACTCTAGTAAACCTACTGGGAAAATTTCACTTTACGGTAACTAAATAAAATCTCGATTTTTCGACTGGAATAGATAGATCTCATCGAGTTCTTGCGTTTCCCGTTGCAAAACGATTCGGACCCGCTTTTAACAAAATTTATAAGCGTTTTAAAGTGGTTGGTTCACTTTACGGTAACCTCGTAAAAATGCGATTTTTTCGCCTGGGATAAATAGATCTCATCGAGTTCTTGCATCTACAATTGAAAAAACCTTTGGGAAAGTTTTTTGGAGGAGGCTACACTATATTTTTGACATTTGACTGTGACATTGTCAGGCAAGGCGGGCCGTCACTTCGGATGGGCTGCCGCTCCACTCTTTCGAAATGGGGGCGCCCCCGGCCGCTTCGCGCTGCTCGGGCGCCCGATTTCGAAACCCTGTACAAGCTCGCACCCATCCGAAGCGACTAGGCCCCGGGTGGCACGAAGCCTTTTTCTAGTAGCAGAGCGAAAGAAATAGCGATTAATTTCCCCCAAATCGAGTGACTCCTGTCGCAAAAACGTCTTTTTGCTGTTTCAGAAATTCAGAAATTCGGAGGAAGTGCAAAATGTGTGCTAATAAAGTTTTTCCTGCCCCTTATGCAGCGTCTTTGGTACCACAGTACGTTTACAACTATTACGTTTTTTCCGTACACAGGAGTCCCTCGTAGCCGAAACTGACTTTTTCGATGCGGGGTGAATTGGTTTAAAACAGCTATAACTTTTGTTAAAAGCGAGTCCCAATCGTTTTTTCAACGGGAAACGCGAGAACTCGATGAGATCTATCGATTTCAGTCAAAAAAATCGACATTTTATTTAGTTACCGTAAAGTGAACTAGCCAATATAAAATGTTTATAACTTTTTTTAGACGCGAGTCCCAATAGTTTTTTCAACTGGAAATGGTAGTACTCGACCAGATCTATCGATTCCAAGCGAAAAATCGACATTTTATTGAGTTACCTTAAAGTGAAATTTAGCCAACCTACTGGCGAAAACTTCTTGCATTTTACAACGTTTAAGTTATAAAAACAATATGACAAATAAAAATAATAAATTTTCAAATTTGAAGCTTAATTTTTTCTAGCTCAAGCAATTACAACAAAAATAAAAACTATTAACACTATAAAATAAATGGTACAATTCAAATAGGCGGGGGGAAGATTTAGGCGGGGGAAACCAACTTTTTTTTGTCGGCCCTGGCGGGGATAGCGATCAAATATAAAGTGTTTTCACATTGTTTTTAGCAAAATTTATGCCAAGCTAAATCGGAAAAACTTTTTAAAAAGTTGGAAAAACGCTTGAAAAAGTCGAAAATTTGGTCATTTTTGGGCCGAAAAAATGGATTTTTCGACCTAAAATTAAATTTTTTAATTAAGTTTTGTAAAGTTTTATGTTTAGGAATAGCTATAAACAATTTAGAAACACTTCCACTATTTATATAAAAAATATAGGCTTGGGCGGAAAAAATTTTGGTTTCCCCCGCCTAAATCTTTCCCCCCCCCGCCTATTTGAATTGTACCAAATAAATAATATAACGTCAACAGGCATAGGTAGAAAAACAACGTGTCTCCCCCTTGCTAAACCCCCGCTAACAGTCCAGAACCAAACTGCCGCTTGTTTTAGCCATTTGGGCCCACGCCTGCGAGGGTGATCGCTGCAACAAGCTGTCGGTTGACGAGCTGAAGAAGACCGCCGTCGATATGAAGGCCGAGGACGCCAAGGACGCCAAGGACGCCAAGAAGGCTAGTGGCTCGTCGATCTCCGCCATGTTCCCCGTCATCGCCTTCCTCGTCGCCAATATGCCAGTTTTCTTCTGAATTGATTTGTGATGATGTGAATAAATCGGCGAAACGCCATCTTTGGGGTCGCAGCACCTTTTCGCTATATAGCACTGCGACATACCGCATTTGAATAAGACCTTTGACGCGAAAGAAGAGCATGCATGTTTGGTGTCGATAGGAGTATTCGGTGATTAGCCGTGTTTTTAGATTTTAGTTCCTTACGAGATGGGTAGAACTCTGTGGTGATGGCGGCTGAAGGGTTTGGCTAGAGGCCCCAGGCCGGTTATAGGCGCTCCAAAATCTGTCGACGCCCCCACATTGGTTACTGGCAAATAGCCAGATGAGACCGCAACGCGACCACACGTGTTACGTGATCTTTTGCCACTGTTTGTGCAAGAAAAGGCTAGAATTTAAAAAATTCTGAAGCTGTTTCAGTAATCCTCGTCGATTTTTGCTTATTCTGGACTTTTTGATGATGAAAATCGATGAGAGAATCCCCGAGATCGAGAGATTGGGTGTCGTACAAGACATACGACATGTAATCGCTGCGCGCTCAAAACGTCGTTTTCGCCCCAAGAACATTTCGGTCTTACTCAAATATTTTACGTTTTTTTCGCCACGGAATCACTTTTCTGGTGCTTTTCGGCAGTGACCCTTTCGTCATTCGACCGGTAGGTTTAGTCCCCGCAGGCGCGAATTTTGACTTCCGTGCCCCTTTAAGTACAAACCTTTACGCCCACACATGAAGTCGACACAACCGAATGAGCCCAAAAAAACCCTGTTTGACTATGACGATAAAACATCTTTGTTCAGAAGCTGGATTTTTGACCCGAAGGGGCGTTAACTGTCCCAGACCAAAATCAAAAATTCCAAATAAAACAAAGGCCAGAATCAACGTCCGTTACGGTAAATGCGATGTTATCAGCACGCATTTTTCACGGCCAAAATTTCTTGAAAATGATGTTGGTTGGTTGTTCACAGGTTCACGGATCAGTTCGAAGATTTTTTTATGGTGAAGTATTATTGTGTTCATTGCGCCTCGCAGGAGTTAAAATAATGAATAAAACGTGATTCCAGGCCTTTAGAATGTCGATGGAAGCGTTTGTGCCAAAAAGCAAAATCGTGGGTCCACCCATCGATAGATTTCTCCATACGCCGCCGACTAGACCACAGACAGGCCGGATAACGTACGAAAATCATGCAAAAACTTACAATGCTTATCACTCATCACTGTATGGGCAGCTGAAAAAGTTGGAAGTGAATTTAGTATACTTCGCCGACCACCCGGACAATGTTTCTTACTGTTTTTGTGCAATATCTGGAACGAATAAATTTATAACGGGTCCGTGGCCGGTCGACAGTTATTGGCGGTTTCAGCCGCATGGGTGTAGAGGAGGCGAAGGTGCAGCGGGGATCGCTTGACCGTAACCTGAAGGTGGGTGGCGTGCCGTGGGGTCGGCTCCAACCACCCCCCAACCACCCCCCCAACCACCCCCCAACCACCCCCCAAACCACCCTCCAACCACCCCCCATCCACCCCACGCGACCACCCCCCAACCACCCCCCCACCCCACCCCCCAACCACCCCCGCGACCACCCCCCCAACCACCCCTGGGGTGGTACCACCCCGGGTGGTCGGCGAAGTATAGAATTTAGAGTTAGTTACTCTTAGAGCAATCGATTCGTCTCGCCAGTTATCTGTGTGCAAATTTTCAAATAAAAATTTGATGTCGAGCTGAATCTCCTGGTGAGGTGATTGAAAACATAACCCCGTGGTTATATTAGAAAAAGTACGGTAGTATGATGCCCAGTAAACACCGTACTAATGATGTTCCAAACCAGTGTTTTGCCACAAAAAACCAGTGTTTCCGGCGCGCCCACCAAATTTATTCACATCACAAAGGCAAATCAGAAAAAGGCATGGATATTGGAGGCGAAGAAGGCGACGACGGGGAGCACGAGGTACGAGGCCGTCGGCGAGTGCTTGGCCGCTTCTTCAGCGCGCTGCTTCAATTCGGTCATCGGTAGCTTGTTGCACAGATCACCCTCGCATGCCTGCTCCGTCACAGTGAGGTGACCTAAATGAGGAGTCAGCTCAAAAATTCCAAATGCCGTATTTCTTCCGATCACCGCCTGTGTTCGCTGATCAAAGCGAAACTTACGGGAAGACTCCAGATACCCCCCCCCCCAACTTTTGTATCTCGGCTCCCTGTTCATCTACAGGTGTGGCAAGTATACCAAAATTTTCGTCTTACTCTGGCGAGTATTTCGGTATAATTTACACACCGGTAGATGAACAGGGAAGCGAGATACGGCAGGTGGGGGTGGGCTGGGGGGGTATCTGGAGTTTAGCGAAACTTACTTCCAGGGATCTCCTTGCGTTGGTAGCCCGTCGTCCAGTTCGTCAACAAAAATCCCGTGGCGCAGGTGCGGATCTCCAACTGCTTGATGATCGCTTGCTCATTCTTCTTCTCCAGGTGAGCGTGGGAGCACTTGTTCGTCCCCGTGCACTTCTTTGTCGAATCCTGAACAACGTGAACACGTCGTGTTGCGACTTGGCCGAAGAATTCACCTTCACATTCTCGCAATCACTAGAGACCTCGACGCCATCGAGAATCGCCAGCCAGATGGCCCTGAACCGAGGAGTTCAAGATTGCGCCCGGAAGGGAATGATTTTTTGCATATGCTACTTGGTTTTGGACCGTTAGCGGGGGGGTTAGCAGGGGGAAAACCAATTTTCTTTTTTGCACCTGTTGATAAACTATTGGATTTTGAAAATTTTTAGTAGTTTTTGATTGTTAGAAAGTGACACAAAAGATTTTACAAATTTCGAAAATTCGGAACTTTTGACCCTTTTTGGTTATTTTTTAACATTTTTGGGCAGAAAGTTAAAATTTTCGAAAATGTTTATAATTTTTCTAGCCTTGTATATCCAAAAACTATGTAAAATGCTATAAAAATAGTTTATATTTTCTTCCAGGGCCGTAGGGAATCAGAGGGAGAATTTGACGATCTTCCACCCTAAGAAAACGCACCACCCCGGGGAAATCGTCCCTTTTCCTTCCAATGACGTATTCAGGAGTTCGATAAAATACAAGCTTACAACTTTTGCGTAATACTAAATTAAGTAATTTGCACAATGTAAGAAAATCCAAAAAATATCCAGACTTCTCCACGTCGTTATCGCCAAGGGTTTCCAGGTCGCCCTGCATGCAATTGTAGCAGTCGGCGCGGGCCACGTTGATCAGGTAGAAGCCGAGCAGGCAGGCGAGCAAAAGAAGAGCCGGAACGCGAGCCATCGTTTTTGGTGAAACAATGCTGGAAGTGGTGGAATCTCTATTTGCTTGGAATCACAGGGAATTTGTGGATGGCGTCCGGTTCCCAGATGGAGATTTGGTTGCGAAATGTTAATTTGGCAACCAATATTTGAGTTTGTTTTGGCGATTTTTTATCCATTTTTGATCAAATTTTTTAATATTTTTTAATAATGTTCTTCTATCTAAAAACTATGCAAAATGTTATAAAACGCTCCATAGTTCCTTAGTATCTTGCTACATCGCCTTAATCAAATGTAAATATCATTTATTGCAGGCCGACAATCAGAACACGACAATTAATCACAAAAATCACAATGGAGTACTAGAAAAATGCAAATAGGTGCGGAATAAAGAGGCTGATCACAGGGATCACGAAGTAGTAGCGGATGCGCCGGCTGTCGTTCGCCAGCTCGGCGGCCGACTGAACAACTTCGGGGAGGGTCATGTTGTTGCAGCGCTCACCCTCGCACATCTCCAGCCACCAGCGGTCTGGAAAATCCAGCTGGCATTGGATTAAAGGGAACGGCATGACAGGAAGATACGTTTTTTTTTGCTATGGATTCCAACGTTTTATGTTTGCCGCCGTGACACGCAATGGGTACGCCGCCCGGTCCGTCGAGAATTGGGCGCAAGCGATGAGACGTGTGCTCTGGGTGTCTCACTCCGCAGGGATAATCAATGGCGTTTAAAGAAGCGCGCAAGACATCACCATGATTTTCGTGGACTTTGGCCGCTTCGCGGTTTAGGAGCGCATCACGAAACGTAACGCACGAGTTGCTCGGCCGGTTGCCTACCAAGATAGCGCTCGACCTAGCGCAACCAAAGACCAAAGACCGCGCCGCGTCAAGTAACGCGCACGCCGATTTAACAGAGATTTAACATAGTTTTAACAGTCGTAATGCCCTCCGCAATCAAAAATTGCGTGCCGCGATCAAATGAAGGTAGCTTAGGCTTAGACTTAGGTACAGTAAGCTAAATCTGCACACGTACGCATCGGCTGCTTGAGCTTCTCCATCACTCGTGCAGGTTTCCACTTGTCCCGCAGATACTTCAGAAAATCCTCCGAGGCACAGTTCCTGACGACGACCGTCGTCTCCCAGTCGGCCTCAAAGTACGCGTGGATGCACTTGGCGCCCAGGCAGGTTTTCATGTCGTTCTGCAAGTGATTATTGGAGCACTGAGTACCACCAAGGTGTCATTATTATTAATTTAGCGCCTTAAGAAAAAGCTAGCAAATACCGTCACATTCCAACAACCGCCCAGCTTGAGGACGGTCCCGTTGGTGTCGCGGATGAGAGGAGGGGCACTGAAATGTCCACATACAGAGCTCCTTTTTCTGTGCTTTTCGCTTAATTATATGCAAGCTGAACGTCTTGAAATGCCCGTCATGTCAATAGTAAAAATCGGCTCGTCTAAAAGACAACTATAGCATTTTTGCGCGTACTTTTTGTCGGTCGTCTGTAACTTCAAAAAGTGCTGAACCTCTTTAACTTCTCGACACCGTCACAAACCCCTTGATGTTGGACATCTACTAATGATCAACCCCTTACGTCGCCTCCCTCGCGAGCCACTGCAGTGGGATGGCCCAGCCCTGCATGCACTGGTAGCAGTACGACGACGGGAGGGTGGGTTGGGCAGGGGTTGAAGCGTTGGAAGGATCAGGAGAAATATCAGGTGGAAGAGGGGTGGTAGACGGAGGCTCATCGGCTAGGTTAAAACCGAGATGGCAGGTCAGCAGGAGAAGAGCCGGTAAGCGGACCGACATCTTGGAAAATGGTTTGAAACGCGAAAATACATTTTGGGATTTAAATTCAAAGATTATAATTGAGGGGACAGAGAGAGAAAAAGATATATACAGGGTGTCCCAAAAAAAAACGAACCATCTGGCATTTCGCCGTGTTACATACAACCCGCCCCAAATTTGGACCAGCGGTGTATCAGATCCTAAATAACAACAATCCTGACTTTTAGCCCCGTAGCTACCGTCGTTCTCGAGTTATACCAAAAATACTGTTTTTCCCGCAATTCTTAACAGTTTTTTCGGCTATCTTTTTGGATTTTGCATCGATTTGCATCGACTTCCGGCTGTGAATCCCTAATTTCGCTTAAGAACTTGGGTAACTTTGCGTTGTAAAAATCGCTTAAATCAAAGTTTATTTGATCAATTTTACTTTGGAAAAATTTTTTTAAAGTAAAGAAGGCCTACCGGATCGTTTCCACTTAATGTTTAGGGGGTCTAATTCCACTAAAACCCTATGAAAAACGGAAAACAAAGTTTGTTTTTGCTATAACTCGAGAACTACTATAGCTACGGGGCTATAAGTCAGGATTGTTGTTATTTAGGGTCTGATACACTTCTGGTCCAAATTTGGGACCAATTGGATGTCACACGGCGAAATGCCAGATGGTTCGTTTTTTTTGGGACACCCTGTAGAGAGAGAGAGAGAGAGAAAGAGAGAGAGAAAGAGAGAGAGAGCGAGCGAGAGAGCGAGCAAGTGAGAGAGAGAGAGACAAGGGAGAGAGAGGAAGAGACGAGAAAGCTTAAAATAAATTCTGCTTTTCAAGCTTAATGCTGTGTAAATTACAATAGTTTATTATAAACAGAAAGACTTAATATTTTCTTAGGTGCATATCAAAAATGTACTGCTTGCGCAAGTTGGCCATGTTCAAGGAAAACATCTTGGTGATGTAGGCGTTGTCGAGGATGCCGAGTTGCTGAAAATTGTGGCTTGCATATCTCTGTCTTTATCGCTTTCTCTCTCTCTTTCTCTCTCTCTCTCTCACTCGCTCTCTCTCTTACCAAAAAATGTCGATTCGCACTAGCAATCTTCACCATCCTCATCTGACGCTCCTCCCGATTCAGATCCGGATATGCTTCCACTATGTATTCCATCAACAGCTATAAAAAAAAGAGATTTTTACTTTCAGTTTTAAAATTTCCACCTGCTCATACTTCACTCGTGCTCTTTGGACCACATTAACACTCTTTTGGGTGAGGATGGCGGCTGAAAACAATTAATAAGGGCTTGTTTCGCTGCTCAAACTTACTAGTGCTGAAGAAGCAGATCATTTTCATGAGGGCGTACTCTTCGGGGCTAAAAGTCTGATTATACGAGAGAGAGAGAGAGAGAGAGAGAGAGAGAGGGCGAGGGAGAGAGATTGAAAGAGAGAGAGGGAGAGAAAGAGAGACAGCCCAACGCTCTACCTGATTTTGATCTCCTTAAACAACGATATCACTTCCTTATGAAGATAGGTGGACAGTTGGACCATAAAGCTGTCAAATCTAAAGATTGAACGTTTGATTTGAGAATGGAAAATATAGGTTAGTAATAATATATAGGTTTTAAGTTTCCATTAAAAAACTAAAAACTTACTCATCCGTAGGTGGCGTTTCAGGAGGAATAAAGTGAATTCCTGCTCCGAAAAGGATGCCCTCTTTGCCTTCTCGATAAGTGTTATAGGCAATGGTGCAAAACTGGAGCTGGCAGAGCTGGGCGCTGACGAGGGCTAACTAGAAAAATATGATTTTTAATGATACCATGAAACCAATATTTTGCGAAAAACTCTTATTCAACCAAGAGTTAGGGCGAGAAATGATGGAATTTTATCATTTTTATCCATTTATAGGCGGGGGAAAACGATTTTTATCATTTTCCTGTATGGTTTTTTCCAAGCATCGTTGGCGTATTTTTGAGCTCTTATGTTAATTTCAATTCAACCCACCCGATCCTTTTCATCCATCTCGATCAGCTCCAACAGCGAGGCCACCCAGTCAAGGTAGTGTAACGCGATTCGGGTGTAAATTAGCGGTATCAGCTCAATCATGGCGCCTTCGACGGGTCGCCCGTCTGTCCAGCCCATCTAAAAACAATTTTTAGTTGCCCGTCGGCAGTTTTAAAATCTTGGAAACATAGCGCTGATTGGCGCGCTGGGTCGGATCGGAGGTTGTAAATGAGCACATCAATAGCTACTAGATTACTTACCGGGGTCCTGGCGCATAAGGCCAAAGGATTTCTTATCGCTTCTATCAATGAAGTATCCAAATTTATGACTGGCGTACAGCTCATGAAAGAGTTTTGGAAGTCGCAGGCTCTGAACCAATAAATTATCAGGGTTTTACAGCTACTGCAAGAATTCGAAGAATCTGTGCTAGCCAGCCTGACAGTTTTTTTAGCAGAATTACAAAGAATGCATCAAAACAGAAGAAACATATATTTTTGGACAATTTTTAGAAGGCTTCATTTCATACAAAAACTGTTTCTGGCAATGACTCTCTGCTATATTGCCTCAAATAAATTTTTTTTTATTTTTTAATTTAGTCGCCCACCTTTCCAATTGATACAACCTAGTAGCTAAACTAGCTGGGGAACAGCCACGTTGCCTCAAATCCGCGATGAACTGCTTGCCGATGAGGTAAGAGCTGGAGAGGAGCTCCTGAATTTGAAGGGGTAGGGCATAGAAAATCTATAGTTACCGTAGTCCTCAAAAAGCCCTTGTTCAGATACGGTACCACCGCCCTTTGCTCGTTGATCTCTTTGCAGGCGACCAATTTCCAGGCTTTCCGGTTGAGCAGGGGGCGAGGTCGAGAAGTATGATTTAAAACTCTAGGAATTTAATTTATAAGAATGTTTTTAGGGGATACAAATGAGTATTGCAAATTTTAAGATGAATTCACTTACTTGGGACATTCGATTTGGATGGTTTCGATGGCAGTAGAGGAACTGGCTAAAAAAATTTACTTGGGGTTTGCGATCTAGCCAATGGATTACGCCATTAAAATAGGTTTTCCATACCTTTATCAGACGTGCATTCAATCGGGTCCAAATCTGGCAACTCGTCTTTCATCGAAAATCTGGCTCCAGAGCTTCCGACGACTGAAATAATTTGGTAAACGCTTACTATAGGAAAATCGTGAGGTCAAAAATACTCTCGAGAACACATAACATTTTAAGACTTTAGGAAAGATACCTTAATAGCTATTACCTTTGGAAAGGTATCAAATGTAGACAAGTAAAGCTAATAAACGTACTGCTCGGATCCATGTTCGACTTTAGACACAACTCGTAGCGGCATGCTCGGCATTTCAGGAAACCGTCTGAAAACCTTGTTATACTTTTTGTTGACGAGAGAGAGAGAGAGAGAGAGAGAGACAGACAGATCATGATGGAGAGATACAGAAAAAGAGAGTGAGAGGGAGAGAGAGAGAGAGAGAAGATCTTTCGTCTTTCGGAATCTTTCCGTTACCTTTAATACTGCATCTACCCTTGGCTGTACATTTGTAGGTGTACTTCTTCCGGACAGTGCGTAAGAAAAAGACCTTACAGCTCCTGAAAACACGGTCTTTAGGATGAAGAAAGTACCGTACCCGCACACCAGACCGCCATAGTATAAAGAAGTTCCTTTACTTGACGTGCAAACGGTGCAAAAGTAGGTGGAGTTCATGAGATGATCTGAAAACATAAACATTTATAAACCTTCAACAGTTGAAATGACTAAGATCTGTGAATTTGAACAAAAAAAACCATCTAGAAAAAGTTCTAACTATTGCGATAACTGTCGACTGCGAAAAGTCTAACGCAGTGGTAGCTTTTGGTACTTTGTGTTTGTAGGCGTGGGAATGTAGTCTATGACAAGGACGTGGAATTCCCCCCCGGCTGTTCAGAGTAATTTGACGGAAAGTGGGTGAGCAAGAGTTGGAGTAGTTTTGCTTCCTCCCTCAAAAGGTACTAGTAGAAACTGCTTTGAAATTACAGTATAAAAACTAATTAAAAATACCGCAATAAGAGAATTTCACCCTGCTGCGTAAAATTTCCGTTGATAGACAAGCATTAGAGGTTTGCGAAATTCAATAAAAGCTAGGCATTTTCCGATTTCGATGACATTTTAGAGACGTGTTGAAGCGGTACTTTTATACATTTTTAAGGGACTTTTAAAAATTTAACCGCATTGAAGTTGCAAGGGAAATTTCTACGGCTAAAGCCGATTTTCAAAAAAAACTTGGCAAAGCATGTTTTCGGTTCCCCCTGGGAGATATACAAGATACACAAAACCCCACCTCAGGGTACCCAAATGGGGGAAAGATGGAGAGGTTGCCCGGGAGATCTGTTATGTTACCCAATCTTTCGGCAGTTGTAGGATTTGTGCGGGACGAATTGTTCGTGGGAATACATGTGGAATCTTGGCTCCGTTTCCGGATTAAGAGAAATACCGAGAGTACTCGATTTGAACCAATTACAAAACTGTAAAATGAATTAAGAAACCGCCGATAGTCCAAAAATCGTATTTTCGGGATTTTCACGCAGTTCTACCACTTGAAGCCTAATTTGCATAATTGCGGAATTTAAGACTTGAAACGATTAGTAATGCGATACTAAGGCGCTTAAGAATCGTCAAAATGATCAATAAATAACTCAAAAACCTTCGTTTTTGAAAATTCCGCGACGATACCGTAGCCTGGCCGTGATTTCTGAATAGTATTAGAACCAAGAATGGCCTCGAAGAGATGTTCGAACTTCTCTTAAAAAGGTAGGCGTGGTCAGGCAGCTTAAATGTCAATCCCGGAAAATTTGCGTCCTGAAGAAACGAAAATCCGAGCAAATGCTACGCCGCCAAACTCCATTCTACCGCACAGAGAACTTCGTTGTACTTGGGCACGCTTGTTAGTTAGAAAGGAGTTGGTGGGCGTTAAAACACGAGAGAGAGAGAGAGCGAGAGAGAGAGAGACTAGAAGTCTGTTCCATGTCTAAAAAATTATGATTTAGTAGATACTCCAAGGATCTAAAAAAGAATGCCGAATTGTGTAAAAGCTATTTGTCATAATCAGGGGTGATTTCCCTGGGGGCAGACTGAACTTTGGAAAAGAGCGCAGACAACTGTTTTTGTCATTGGCACCGTATGCTAATTATTTACGGGGAATCCGGCATATTGTAAGAATCCTTGGAATGCTGGGTAATAATTAGATTTAAAATGGCTAGACGTGAAACTGTACTTTTTATGAATTATGACGCGTTGGTGTTGTTCGAAATAAAGACTGTATTTTCTTAAACCCTAGTGTTCGAAAACCGAAATAGAACATAGGAAAAATTGGCAGAAACAACACAAAATATGGCCATTAAAGCGGCTCTGGCAGCACACCGATTACGGCATTTTGGGGACCCGGCAGAGACGCAGAGTTCTGTCTGCGTCTCTCCTCGGGGCGCGCTCTTTCTCTCCCTGCCGCGACGCATCCGACCGCAACGCTTCCACGAGTCGTGGAAAAAGGGGCTTGCTGCCAGAGCCGCTTTAAGGTGTCTAACGACTAACTAAAAACTGATTTCAGGCAGCCCTGGCCCTATTTAGGGCCCAATCTTGGCTCTTTACGTGGAGGGCGTCATTAGGAACCTTAAGTGTTGTTAATTTATCATCTATTTATATTTTTATGAAACATATTAAGCCAATTTGTCTAGTTTATTGATTTTTGTTCTTAAAATTGAATGTTATTGTTTGAAACCTGGGGCTCAAAGAGCCATTGTCGTTCGGGGAACTTACCCGATCCAAAATGTTCTAAAAATTGTCAAAAACAAGATAAAATTCTTTGCTATCCATCCACAGAGCAAAAAGCACGCAAAATGAACCTGGGCCCTAATTTGGGAGGGTCCCAATTTTGGCTCTCTAGGCGGAGCAGGCAGGGGGGATGGCCAGGTGGGTTGGGGCGAATGTCTGATCCGACTAATCCCTTCAACCCGCAGTCCTCCTCCACTTCTTCTCTCCTAGTTAGACGGCTTTTCCAGGTAATTATGAATATTCCATCTTTTCAGGTAGTCATCGCACAGTTGGTGAACAATTTCCGAGTTAAAAATGGCTGGCTGGGTGACTGTCCATCGGATTTGGTTTCACGTTTTTAGGGAAAACCCGGGATGCTAATTAATCGGGTTCAACGTGTGTGTTTTGGTTAGGTTCAAGTGCGTAAAAACATAGCTACATGATTAACTCTGAAATTTCCTTTGTGGAATTTGCACGGCAAGTCGGATATTTTAAAG